TTTGAGACACCTGTTGGATGAACTGATGGTTTGCTCCTGTCTGAATTTGTTATTCTGTTATTATGTTTTAACAGACCCGGGAGAAAATAACTTTTAAGTTGGCCAAATGTAAGTAAGATGGATAGTACTGTGTTCAGTGAACATGATTCAATCGAAGGACTGCAAACTCAAAATCAGAACTCAATCTCTTCTGAACTATCAAACTGACTATGAGTTACGGTCTCTTTGGTTTAGATATGTTTTTACTCTCGGGGTGTCATGCGGTACTTTGACCACAAGATGGCGAAAAAAACCTTCAGCGTTGACATTTTGTGGCTAAAACCATGAAAACCGACAAACAAACGAAAGTTTGTTATCTGACCTCATTGATTGGTGCATTTTAAAGTAATGCAGGAATGTCGTAAACTTAATCTGCTAATGATGGGTATAATAAATAGGCGATGAGATAGATGGGAGAGCGCTGCATCGTCACAATGTGTTGTGCTTCAGACGAGACGGTAATCTGGAGTCTTGTTTGCCTGTTCTGGAAGACTTTTAAGATCCAAATGGCACAATTCGAAAAGAGAAGGGAGTTTCTCCTGGAATCCTGGCCAACAATCCCCAGCTCAAAGAAAATTGATCATTCGCTTCATGGCTGTTTGTGGGACATGACTCTGCCCAAATTGACTGCCGCATTCACCTACAATTGACCTCAAATAGACAGTCACAACACTTTAGTATAAATCGTGCGAAGCTCTTTGATAACATTATGAGGCACTGTATCAAAGGCAAGGATTATATTATCTTTCTTTCCATTTTCCCCTATTCTCAGTCAGTGGATCCTGCTCTAGTCCCCAACACCCTCTCGCTTTGTATTAAGCTTATAGCTGTAGACATCTGTGATTGCACAATTTGATACCACAAATAACCATGAAATGAATCTGGAGGATTGTTAACCAAGAAAAACTTGCTTCTCTAGTAGTGTAATGGAATCTCTAACACACACCTGAGCAGGCAGAAAGGACGCCAATTTAACGTCGCATCCGACACTCCTTCTACATTACACTGGAGTGTTTTCTTTGACTACAAGCTCAAGTTGCGACGTGGGGCTTGAACCCACAACCTTCTAACCCAGAGCCAAGAACAGCAAGGAAAGAATTGCACCAGCAGCTATAAGTAATTGCTTGAGATGTGTAGGAGACTGTCTTGTGCTGGCTGCACCGCTGTCCTAATCTGCGATCTGCTGGCACGGTTCCCAGACATTGATAACTAAACAAGGCAAGGCCACAACTCTTTGCCATATGATTGATATCAGAGTTGAAACACCCAAGAGAGAGGAATCCTGCTCTTCTGCCCTGGAAAAGAAATATTCTGACAGCATGTCTTGGAGATTTTGAAGGTAGGAATGACTGAGTCTTTCCAATCCCTGTGGATAGCATCAGTGGTTGTAACCATATTGGACGACAATGCATCCCTGAGCTCCTGTACAGACGGACATTGCCTTAGTAAAAAGACAAGAACAAATACAGGAGTTACTCTGATCTCAGGAACAGATGGATTTTTAACAGTCTGCATTGGTTTTAATGTTTGAGCACTCTATGACTTCAAGATCAGATAATAAGTGATAAAGATTATCTTTAAAGATCAGGAGCAGATATCTTACTTCTTAAATCATGGGTATACCGATTTGCAGGGCATTTAATAAACAGTTCATGGTACTTTTTACATTTAGAAATAAAGTCAATAAAGCCTTTATAAAGTAAACTGATTTATGGAAATAATTAATGTAACTGCAACACATAGTTTCCCCCTCCCTCCTTTGAAATTAAAAGTCTGTTGCCACTTAATTGTGGACATTGTGGAAAAACCAGCAAGCAGGAACATTGTGGGTTTCGAAATACTGAACTTCATTTGATGTAAATATTCTACGATTTAGAAGGTCATGTCGAGAGCATTTTGATATTCAAATATCAAATGATTTTCTGCGGAATGAATGAAGAACTGCGAGTTCTCGCATTGCTGTTTGTAGGAGACTTCAGTGAAAAGAATTTCAGGACTTCTCAGTGAAAGTGACTGAAAACCCATGGAAGAACAAGGTCGCAATTTGGCAGCTTTCTGTTTACCTAGCAGTAATTAGGAACCCGGTCGTTAGTCGATTGGCGGATTACTTTTCTGGGTGTAATGATTCCTTCAAAAAAATAATAATAAATAAATTGATCACTTCAATCCACCACTGTTTGAGGGACACTGCTGTGTGCAATTGGCTTCGCGTTTCACCCACAAAATACAGTCAATACACTTTACATTATATTTTGTGAAGCGCTTTGAGACGTCTCGAAGACGTAATAAGATGCTATATCAAATGCAACGATTATTATTATTATTTAAGCAGAGGATAGAGATGAGGCTGGAGTTATAGGCACCTTGTTAGAATAGTGCAGTGGGCTACATTTACACCAAGCCGCAGCAATGCTCCTTGTTGTGATTGGATCAGAACTTGTTCACCACCAGAGAAAATGAGAACAAACTGCTTCGCAACCAGAAAAACACTGAGGTTGATCAGTGTTTGATCATGATCATGTTCCTTGGATTGTTAACTCACTGACCTATTTTACCTGATAGATTCTTATCGCAACAGGAAATTTTGTCCTTCCTATTAATATCAGTCCCCATTAACCTTTAAGGACTTGTGTGAAGGAGATTGTTAGCATTTAAAACAAACAAATTAATCGGATGGAACTATGGAACAACTGATGGATTTCAATGTAGCTGAATTCGTGGTAATTTGCAATAGAAGTGTACAATGATGAGTGGAATGGGATTCAGAAAATTATTTATCGTGCACTGTGAAACTCTCACTAATAAGGCTCAATGACTGGAATCCATGCTGAGAATAAACTGAAATGAGTTACTTTCATCCTGATCAGCAACACAAATATTATATGGTACATTATTTGGCATTCCATTAGGGAAAGTGATTTCTTGGTCCGTAAAGCTGAGTGACAATGTATAATGTCCTATGCTGGAACTTGAGCTCATTTAAGTCTAATTTGGCACTATATAGAGCAGTAGTGGGGGTGGGGGGGTGTTGCATTGACAGTGGTGCTGGCTTTCAGAAAACACATTAACTGACTGTCCCATCTGCCAGTCATTAGGAGGTTAAAGATCCCAATCACCACTATCCAAAAAAAGAAGGGAGTTACTCCTGGGTTGTTGGCCAAATTTGAAAAGAATGTTGGAGTCAGTTTCATACAAAAATATCAACTGTAGTAAATGTGCAGCTTGATGGAAGGCAATATTATAATGAGACAGCCCTCCAGGTCATTGTTACAGAAACATTCATCGTGGCATGGTTAGCTTAAGTAAAAGCTTTTTTTTTAAAAAACCAAAACAGAATTCCTGACTCTCTGCTGAAGAAATCGTGTTTAGGAAGGCAGAGCTGAAGAGTTTGAGCACTGTCAGCAATTAGTAATGTAATGTCTTCATTTTGTATTCTGTCCTTCATTCCCTCAACTGCAAATGCCTAATTGTCTCTCCGAAGTACAATCATCAGGAGGTTTATTGTAATTATAAATCATATTTGCTGATTCTTAATACACCAAATGCCTTGGCATCATGTTTGAAAACCCAGTTCTCTGATTACACAGCAGCACAACTGCAATACCCCTAAAATATGTTGAGTCCATCTTGTGTCAGCTATTTTCACTATTCCCTTTGTGATTTTGCTTGTTTGGAGCAGCAGACTTTCAGCTTCAGTCACTTAATGAGTTTCCATAAGCTGCAGGTTACATAAATGCCCAGTACTGATAAATATGTCCCTGGACAGAATCTTCCTCACATAAATCTGCATGCATGTGTCAAATTGAACACAACTGGTAGCATTCGAGTAAAAGCAATTATTATTCCAAAGGAGACCTACATTATCTAATATTACATGCTGACACACATGCTTTGCACTTGCAGTCAAGTATTACCGTTAGTGATGGTAACTGTCAATACCCTGTTGGTTAAAAATATGACTTTATTACTCAGCTGAAACAGCTCGCAACAATAAATTACCCATGAGGATGCTGTTTAAATTGGTGCACTGTGCACTACCAGACTTCAGATGCTGAAACATTTTTATATCAGCACTTGGGAAAACAGGGACAAGACAGAGAAAAGCATTTGGCCCATTGAGGTTTCTCTGCCATTTTATTAATTCCACAAAAGTTCTTTTATCTTCCTATTTCAAATTCCTTGGTAGACCCATGATCAACAATGTTCCGATTAAAAATATTAAATTATGCCCGAGCCACAGTTGACAAAGCAACCATTTGGGGAGAATATTCCAAAATGCAAATCACTGTACTCTTACCATAAATTCAGTTACCCAAAGGGCAGCAACTGAAGCAGATCTGTCATACATGGAAAACCAACAGATTGTATTGGAAACAGACCAAAGGATTATGTAGAAAAAAAATGAACTTATTATTAGAATTGTGACTGAAGACTCATGATTCCATCCTAATTAGTTTTAGTGTTCAAAAGGATTCAATCAGTAGGATTCAATCACATCAGTAAACTATGTGGAACAATAGCTTTATTTTTGTTTATAATGTACATAGTGTGTTTCAAACCTCCATCAGGAGGAGCTGTTCCTTCACCGCCTCTTAATGTTGTTCAGCTTTGTAGTTTTTGTACTGAAAGGGTTCATACCTTTTCTATTCCAATGAAAGCTACTCCTGAGGCGGTTGGTGTCAAGTGATATGGAAAAACACAGAGCAGTCCCAAATTTGATTATGGTCTCTCCTGGTTTGACTAATTCTCTAACCTGGGCCAGTGCAATTGGGTCACCATGTAGCAAGGTGGAGAGGTGAGAAGGACAACAACATCAGTATCTAGTGGCCCCTGTTGAAAAGTCATCAGATGAGCACACGATCATCAAGCATTCTCTCAAATATGACGAGTCGTCTCTTGAATGAGATACTGCACTACATGCAGAAAACATGCAGACACAAAAAAACTGCAGTTCCAGGTCATTAGATGCATTTTCTTTATTTGAGCTTGCAGGCACTGGCATTAAAGTTACATTTAACTTCTACAAGAAGAAAAATATACAACCCATTATTTTCCACCCCCTCCCCGTGTACAGCAACTTTACTCTGAAGAGGAATCATTTCAGTCCCAAGTGGCAACTGTATGATTGGAAATATTTGTCATTATCAAAGTTAACCAGCATTAAAAAAAACAGTTGCATGGAAATAAGGAAAAGCCTTTGCACTGTGCACTACTAATTTTTACATTTCACAAAGATCCAATCTGTTTTGACAACTAGCTTAGTCCAATAATGCAAAATTGCCTAATCTGTCCATTTTCCAACATTCGTAAGCACAGGCATCTATAACATGTATTCAGTTGCACATTGCTTTGTTTACAGTTCCTTTTGATACCCAATGTCCATGAATTGATCACAAACTCAAGTGCGAGCATCTTGGAGTGGAACAAGTAAATTCACACTTTGGAGGTATAACAGCAAAACAAAAAACAACATAAATCCAACATACAAATAGATACATTGTTTTAAAGTAAAATACTGCAAATGATTCTAAATTAAGCATTTTGAAAACACAAAATAGAAGTATTTACAACCCTGCTATAACTTAGCTGTGTGAAGGAAATTATATTAGATGAGCTCTATATCAGTTCTCAATTCCCCTACAAAGTAGATTGCATGTGTTAAAACCACTGGCACAATCAGCTACAGTGAAGGAAATCTTGAGTGATGTCCACATAGATATAAAACATAGTTGAGAATTTCTAATGCCACAGCAAATAGATTGGATAACATTTTGAGAGTTTTATAGTTTTGAAGGAGGCCTGGCACAATCTATTGCATTTACCCTGGATTACATCTGCCTGGTTTTTTAAAAAAAAACTGAGGGCTGAGCACAAATCTATAGCAGCAACTAGATCAGCTTTTCATACTATCAATGACTGACCACTAATTTTGATTTGTGATGTTATTTGTAAATAAAAAGACAATGAGAAAGGCAGAGACAATGGAACACTGCTCATTAGGTCACCACACAGTACTTTGTGATGTTAAATCTGGTCAGCAAACCAGGATTTCAAGAGGTTTATTCTTGTAATTGTAAGTATTAGAATGGGCACCTTTTAGACAATCTGCAGTTTTTTTTAAAGGAACTCTTGATATTCGAGGGGAGAATTGCAGTTTTCCGATTATAAGGCAAGCTTTTCGATCACAGGTCCCCAGTAGGGAATTACAGGGTGCGGATCCCTGACTGTCCAGCGCTTTGGGACGTCCTCCTGACGTGAAAGGCGCAACACAAATGTAATTTGCCGCTGTTGTTATTCCTTCAATTCAAATTGGCCAGTGTCAACTGCAAATGGGGAAGAAAGAGAGGGAGAGAAAGAGAAAACACACACACAAAAACACTTATCAAAGAAACCTCCAGGTAGATAATTACAGAAAGGCATTGATGGCAATCAGGAGCAAGTGTGCAAGCCTCAAACCAGAGCACTCCCTCAAATAGGACGCATGAAAACAAACCATGGAAATGTTTATAAGTTTGAAAGTCTGCAGAGATAAGTGACAGAAAATTGTATCGTCACACTTCCGGATTAATGTTTTAGGTACCAGAAACCCAAACATTCATGTTAATCTCATAAGGCATCTAGAAGAATATGACAGTACCAATGGTCACTTTAGGTGGGTTGCAAACACTGAGAAAATGCACAATAATAGCAACTCGAAATAGACTATAACCTATAACCAAACTAGGTAGCTATGAAATATTCACAATCTATTATCTGTCTCTCAGAAATGAAAACACAACTGCTGATATTGTCGGTGTGTCTATTATGGAATAAGATTTTTGTGAATGGCACAAACACTGCTTTGTGGCTTGGAATCTGCAGGCCTTTTAAGGAAGTTTCTATTTAACAATCCTTGCATTTGATACAGCGTCTTATCATATCAGCGAGATGTTTCATCATTAAGTATTAATTATTTTGTTTAAAATCTTAACTTTTTTTTAAAATGCCAGACAAACACGAAAGCTTTCAGATAGTGTTCTCCGTTTGGAAATGTGAGATTTAGAAGAGCGAAGAGGCTACAATTAAATATTTTAAAATAAGAACCCACATGAAAATCAGAGCCAAAATTAAAACAAGTAAAAATTATATCCATTAAGTTTGATGCATGCTATTTTTAAAATTGCTTTACGCAAAAGTAGTCTCTAGCAAAATGCACTCAGAATAAAACAGCCAGCATCAGGGCGATCTTGCATTCACACCATGTACAAATTTTGGTAACTATGACCCTTCTCTCTGGTTATTATTCTCATAACTAAAATAAAACAAGCTTTATAACAAAGTAAAATTAGATACATCTAAGGATTCAAGTCTATGGTTTTGATTTTTAAATAAGGTTTTGTAGTTTTATGCAAACCGTTAGTACATCAAAGCAAGCCACTGTCTGTCACGAGCAAAGTACATGTCTGAAGCTATTTACCAAATACATAGCAAAAATATTTAGAATAACTTTAAGCAGCTTTATTCTTCCTCATACACAGTTAGCTTGGCACGGCAAAGTACTGCAGTTTGTTTGTTTTTACTATTCACTGTTACATATTCTGCAGTCCTTGCCTTTTATGTCTACCTCTGTAAGCAGGACTAACTGCTGAACAAAACATACATGCCAATATAAAGAAATAAGTACTTAACACAATATATTCTATTTTCTACAGTAAAAGGAAAGGATGAAGCACTTTGGTTTACCATGAAACCCATCCTAAAGGGTCTAACCCTATTTTAAAGACTATTAAAACAATAAGCACTGGGTTACAGCAACAGCACTTACAGTATTATGTCCTGTTGTCCATGACTGCAGTCAGATGTTTCTGCACAGTTGCACAATGACAATCACGTATATTGTAATGATTCCACTTTCACTGAAAGTTTACTTAGGTAAGCTGATAGCCTGGCAAAGTTACACCTATACAAAGGTGTTTAGTTTATACAGAAATTCTACAGAATTGTAAGTCTTTTCTATTCACATGCTTCTTTAAAAAAATTGTTTTGACAAAGACAGGAATGTGAACTCGAGTCTGAGCAAGGTAAGAATATCAAAGTCTTTAACAGTATGAGTCTAACAGTTTTTTTTTATGAACAAAGCATTTTGTGTGCTTGAATTGTGTTTTTTTTATGAACAAAGTCTAATAAGATAAATAAGTCTCGCACACAAGACTTCAACTCTTTTCATTTTCTTCCTGATGTTCTGTGCTCATTAGTACTGTGCCCGGACTGGCGTCTTTAGCATTTTCATCTACGTACTCGGATGCAGCTGAACCCTTTTTCTTTGTTGAGATCACTACACCCCCTTTCTGTAGAATCTCAGTAGCTTCGTGCTCCAGAACCTCAGAAGGGGTGAGTGGCTCGAGCTGAATGCTGCCCTGCTCACTCACATCAGAACCAATGGCCTCTGGTTCATCTTTGCTTCTAAAAAACTGTTCAAAGGAAACATCTTCTTTGGGATCTTTGTCCTGTCCCACATTTTCATCTTTACTATCACCCTCATATCGATGAAACGTTTTTCTACCGAAGCAACCAAGCCTCTCCTTCCCCTTTCCTTGGGATTTCTGCACGGTATTCTCCAGGGTCTCTTGATCTTTCGTTTCATCAAATACGGTGTTTCTCTCACATTCTTCTATTATTTTAACATCAACATCCTCGTCAACAAAACAAAAACCTTGTTCTTGATCAGAATTTGAAGCTGCAGCTTCTTTTTCTGAGGATCCATCATGTACGGTCTGTGCATTGCTTTCTTTTTCTATTCCTCTAGTCAATTCAGACAGACCATCGCTCTCTCCAGGATTGTGACTATTTTCTATATTCTTCAGCAGAGCTCACTTCTTTGCCATCAGATTCTTGATGATTATTTAATTCAGCAGGAATTTGTGGTGAAGATAATTCTTCCACCAATTCAACCTCAGTTCTTAAAGTCTGGTCAGTCTTTTCTTGAGTTCTGTCAAAAATAAAAGGGCAATATGTAAACATTTTTAATAGTGCAAGCAGGAAAACTTATTTTCAAATCAGAAACATTTTCAAGTGCATCAAATTTTTATTTTCTAGTTTTCAACAAACTAGTGCAAAATGTATGTGTATCTTGCTGAGTTAGCAATTTTGGGAAAACAATGTGTAGATAATCCAGGTTTTGCCTAAAACATATAGTCAATTCACTTTACAGTATATTCTGCGAAGCGCTTTGAGACATCTCAACAACATGATAAACTGCTATATAAAATGCAAGGATTATTATTATTAAAATTGAATTACCCATCGAAAGATAACCCCGTTTCCAAACTTTCTGCTTCAGGTAAGGTGGACGATTGATTCTCCTTAAAGATACAAGAAAAACTTTCTTAAAATCTTGAAAACAAATGCGTCAATTTTCTTATCTACAATATTAAACTAGGTACATGATTGTTGAAAAATACTTGGGCACATAGGTTAAGACTAATTTAGCATAATAGTTCTTATAATTAAACTGTGCTAAATTTTCAGTCTTTTTTTTAAAAAAGTAGGAATTGAATCCATCTGAACAATTTTCATTTCAGATCTGTTTTCATTGATGACCAGATATCTTTATTTCAGCTATTTGGAAAGTTTGGATCAGCAGTCAGATTTTGTTGAACAATACATAAAATGTTTGCTCAACACCTCAAAGTCCACAAAAACAGTGAAGTTACCTTGTATTTCTTGGTTTTGTTAGTTTCTGAAACGTCTGTACTGCACCTGTTAAGTTAAACAAAAGTACTTAGGTTTGAAATTCTTGATCAGCCACACACAATAACGGTTCAGGAAACTTACCATGTTTTATAACCTACAACACATAAAATAATCCAGTTCTGTGTAAAGATGTATCAGATCATTGTCAAAGGTCTGATTCGAGAGCTGTTACAAGTTGTGTACTCTCAGTTAAAACAACACAGCATTTCATCTAAATCTATGGGCAAGAGAGAGAGAGAGAGAGTTCTCACTCTCCTCTCTCATCACTTTTCAGTGACCCTGGAGAGGACATGCGTTAACACTGGGCATGGAAAAGGGTTGGGGACTGGTTGTGATACACACATACCTCCATTGTCACTCAATCCATGACTGTTTGTGGGACACTGCTGTGCGTAATTTGGCTAACGTGTTTCACCCACAAAATATACTCAATTCACTTTAGAGTATATTATGCAAAGCACTTTGAGATGTCTTGAAGATGTGATAAGGCGCTATATCAAATGCATAGATTATTATTATTGTTTGTGTACATCAGCTAGCTGTTCGATGTTACTGTTTCTTTAAAATGGAAAATAAATCACAATTTTTAAAACACATAAGACAGTTATATACTAACTACTGTATCTACATTCCGTTAACTACAATAGTTCAAAAAACATTTATATTTTCAGGTTTGGCACATTAATTTAATACTAACTTTTTTTCCCAATACTATTTCATTCATTCAAATTTTTAAAGAATATTATTAGCCACTATTTGCTTGGTAAATACTACCTGTCAAGTTTTATCCACTGAAGAACTGAGCTTCTTATATAGTCTGAAACCGTAGTTATTAATCATTCACTGTATGATTCATGACCCTGTGAGTTTAAATTGTGCTTCTTTTCTGCCAAACATGTTACATTAAACATAATAAACAGATACATTGATTCTATCAACCAGAACAGTACTGATGTAATGCCCATTCAAACATGATATATGGATCACTAATTTAGTAACAAATTGGTTTTCCAGTAGATTGTCTAGCCTAAGAAAAATAGTCTAACCAACCTGACTGCTACAATTTATTTTAAACTATCTCTATGGATGAATAATAAAGTTAACTTTCATTAATGATTTGACTACACTTACTGGAAAAAGCAACCTATTGGTACTACTTTACAATCTTTCCCCATTAGTTACCTTAAAACGGCCTGATTTATGACATAAAGCTGTGCAATAGTATTTAAAAATTACTCAAACCACATCTGTTCTTATAAAATGCTGCTTTATTATCAAGTAGATTATCATATCCTAAAGGTAATTAGCAGTACAAATCATTAATATCACAGAAAATAATGAGAAAATACAAAACCCGAACACAATAAATGATGCTTCCAAACCATTTTCAGGTCAGGGAATTAGAATTCCCAAATGTACTTAATCATGAGGGTAGCATTCCTTACTGCTAAATACAGAGATTCAAAAATCCACATAGTACTGCTCATCACAGCTTCAAGATAATTAATTATCATGGCCTTAATGACAATCTTCATAATACTAAATGGATTTTAACATAGATTTTCGTTATTTTATTTAAGATCTAACAGAATGGTGCATTGTTCAAATTAGTCTCTGTAACCTCCTTTTGCAGCTTGGAGTACACAGAAGCTGTGTTTACTCTCAGTTCCATTGCTATATTCAATCAGGGTACTGAAATTATATTATAGTCTGCATCATTTATACAATACCAAATCCCTGAAATTATTATGTGATGTAATTTCCAGTTATAAACAACGATTTACTTAAAATTTATGGCACAGGGAATAGAAGAGCCAACATTTATTCCACTGGTTTGCTCGTCTCTTTTCATTGATAGGTTCAGATATGTGTTCACACTGAAAAGCCCCCAAACTGAATACTGAATACAGATTCTGAAACTGGAGTTACAGGAAGTATTGAGTGGCAGCAAGGTTACCTGGAACATCATAAGGTCTTGAAGCACTGACCACTCAGAATTTAGAAAACATCTTAGAAATTTAGCACTCGCTTTGCAAGCGAGAGACCTGAGTTCAATTCCAGGCAGAGGGCGAAACCTTGGGCAAGTTTCCTTACTCCACACAGAGCCTAATAATAATCCCTCCAAAAAACCCAAAACAATAATAAATTAGTCATTTTCAATCTACGACTGTTTGTGGGACATTGCTGTGCGCAATTGGCTGCCGCGTTCGCCCACAAATATACAGTCAATTCACTTTACAGTGTTCTGTGAAGCGCTTTGGGACGTCCTCCCGACGTGAAAAGCGCTATCAAATGCAAGGATTATTATTATTATTATTTTATGTCTTCTGCACTGAAGAGCAGACAGAGTATCCAATTACAAATCTATAATTCCCAGCAACTAACCTGTTCAATAGATAAATGTATCTACATACATATCTAGTACCTGATCTGAAAGATAACAACATTTCGGTTAAAGCACCGAAAGAGAATCATGACAGAGACTGAATGCTGAGTTACTGGGTAGATCACATCTGAAACACAGGAAAAGCTCATTCACACTTAAAGACACTGAATGTTCCTCATAAATCAGAACCTGCCCATTATTGTACAGTTAGGAATTATCAGCCATGCTAACCTTTTGTGGAAAACAAGCCTGGAGAGGGTCTCAAATTAAAATTGTTTGGTATTTTAGGGGATCCAAATTATACAACTGCCCTTTATTCTAACAAGAAACACAGGCTTTGCTTTGATACTTAATAATACTTAAGGGCCTCAAATCAAATCACGTTATTTTCAAAGACAATGAAATAAAAATGTATTCTTTTAAATTATGCAACAGATCTGTGAAATACACCTTTGGGAGCACATCATTGTCCGCAACAGATTTAATCAATAAAAACAGACTTCAATACCTCTTCAGAATAAAACAGATCTTTCATTAATGTTTGTTATTCAACAATCCACCATTTGCATAATTGAATTGTGAGATCCTGGGAGTTATCAGTCAATGGTCCAAACACAGATAATAATTTGTTTCGGGATACTATGCAATTTTAAATCCCTGTGGCTCAATGGAACTATGAGCATAAGGAATAAAATGTCAGATTGGAAATGAAATAGGAAGGTGGCCCATCACCAAACCTGGCATAAAGGATGCAGACTGTCATGGATAAAAATGAAATTTATTCCTGTAAAATTCAGAGTGCAAATAAGTCACAAGGTAGAAAGTTAAATACATTTTAAGGACATGGCAAGTTAGAAAAAGATCACGTTTGATGAGGTTGCATTGCTTAAACCTGCTCAGAATTTTAGTTCAAATCCCAAACATAGAATTTTTAAGATGACAAACAAAGTACTCTGAGGAAAGTGTGGAGCTATACCTACAATTTTGCCATACACAGATTTCATTTGCAATAAGGCCAGACCATTAGCATGCTTAGAAAAAAATTATTTCAACTACATTAATGCGGCTTCAGCAGCAGGTATTCCAGATTATCATGTAGATAATCCAGACGTTTTCGTGGTTAGAAAGTGTGAAGTATATTAAGAATGTACCAATAAAACATAACCCCCAAAATAATAATGATCACAAATCACGATTTATCAATGATAAAAGCATACTCACTCAACAGCACTGTTGTCTGCAGTGGAGGAAACTGCAAGAAAAAAAATCAATTTTAAGAACCACGCATTCCTATATACACTTAATAATAAACATAGGCATTTAATAGCAAGGGAAGTATATATTTATTACCATATTAAGAGAATTAAACCATCACTATCAACAACCTTAACAAAATTACAAAGAAGCATTGCTTTAATATTTAATATCATTCTATTTATTTTCCGACTGACACTCTTCAATACATTAGTTCAAATGTGAGCACTGATGATATGATGTAGACACTGGCATGGAAGCTTCCAAATTCAATATGCGAAAGAACTGAATATGTAGTAGTGTGAATGATTCTCTGTGTTAACAATTCAACTTCCTCATACTGACTTGCGAGTAACTCCTTTAAGATACAGAAGGGCGGAAACATACAAGCAAAACACCAAATTTGATGGGAGTATTAGAAATGGGAGGACTGATGTTGACAAAAGCTATTAAAGGAGAAAAGGTTTTCACTTAGTTGTGCACTTACCACAAGACTCCGAAACGAAACAACAGTCATGGAATTCATTTTGATCAAGATGCTTTGCCATTTCATCTGAACCAGTACCATCTGTCTGAAATGGGCAACTAACACACACCAGTTTGATACCTCTGTAATAGATTTTTTAAAAAACAACAAAATGCATTTCATATTAGCTCTGTGAAAAATAGTTTTCAATCGGATAATATATAAATTCTCTGATAAGCAATCTTTATTAGCAAATACATTCAATTGGAAAGACTTAATGATCAAGAACACTTTCTGAACAACCTTACAATGCCATCAATTAAAAAAAAGTTGAGGTTAGCACTTTAATGACTCTTCATTGAATTCATACGGTCTCTTTAAGATTGGCTTTGAAAACCTCTACTCATCAGAAACAAATTAAAGACTTCCCTACACTGAACCAAATCTAAGCAATGTAATTCTCTTTGTGGAATGCAAAAATTAAAATTATAGCACATTTCCTACCTCAGTTTGTTTGAATAATCTGTGAACATCCAACATCTCTTTTTACTCGGGGCAGTATGAAAGCTAGAAAAATACACAATGGTTATTGAAAGCAATAAAGGCAGACATGTCTGTACAGTTAATCTGGCAGTCCACAGACTGCAGTTGATTTTTTAAAATTATATACGACTGACACTATAAAATATTTAATTTTAAAAATTGATGACAAATCAAAAAAAATACAGTTTAAGTGTGTTGTATAAGATTCAATCTGAAATTGAAATTCTATTTTGCATCATGGAACATCTATATTGGAAAGAGATTGTTGTTGACAGTTAACTTTCAATATTTGCCAAACATACAGAAGAAACTGGAAGTTTTTGATGGATTGTTACCAAAATAAAGTTCATCTTACCTCATCCTATGTGTTGTATAAGATTTGTTGCAGCTGCTGCCAAAGCGGCAAAGGGAACATTGGGCATAAGTTGGAAAGTGGCTGGGAAAGTCCTTGATTTCTGTGTCACACTCAATACATTTATGAACACCTGATTCGTTTCTGTTCGAAATAGAAAGAGGGGAACAGTTAGAACTACTCATTCAAAACTACAGGCTCAAATAGAAAAGAAAATAATCAGCTCTCCCTTCTCAAGATCACAGAACCAGTTTTGCTGTTTGTAATGGAACGTCTCATGTGTTTCTTCATCAAAAAACCTTTTAGATGTCTACGTACGCTATATCATGACTACCCACTGTCAAAGTGGCACATCACATTCTCAAGAACATCTTTGAAGTTTTTATATTATCACTTACTACCAGAAGATGAGGACATAAGACTTTTCTACAGATGCCATTAAATTCAGCTGAATCAAAGTTGCATTGATTCAGTAGAAGGGAAGTGTGGAATAAGATGATATCTCTGACCTGTCCAACTAAGATCAGCCTCAGTTGGTAATTTTATCCAGGTGTAGATTATTCTATGTGGTTATTTTGCAGTTGCTTAACCCGAGACAGGCAGTGGAAGATGGCCTTTATAGTTAATAGAATCTGAATGTCCTGAACATGGGAATATGCCACAAGAAATGAAGAATTTGTGATACTTAAACTACTTTAATGCAAAATGCCTGTGGTTAAAACTTGCAGAATTCTTGAGAATCGTAAGGAATGCAAGAAATGCATGCAGAAACTATTGGTTATAAATAATAGAAACTATAAATTTAGCAGACTCTACCTCAAAGACTGCAACACAACATTAAAAGATTTGGTTAATTTTTTGCTGACTGTACTCTCTTTCTTCTCATCTTGGTCAAGGTCCTGCTGATCCAGAAGTAACTTTCTCTCATGACTAACTTGGTTTGCGGTTGATGAGGATAATTTAGTGTTTAATGTGACTGGTGATGAGCACTGGAGTGCAGAACCGGTTGCTGTATCTGAAGACACGGAAGATGATCCCACCGGATAAGGTGTCATGGAAGCTCGAATCGTAACCTGTTACAAAAAAGGCATGATCAGAATGACTACAATTCCCTGTTGACAAATACAATTTTTTTTCCAACATAGGAGCATGGCTCAGCTTTTAGGATAAACACCAGGTAACTTTCACACAATACTTTTTCTCATAGAGTATACAGCAGAATATAACGTTTAAAAATGTTAACAACTGCATTCCACTGAATCACGTTACCCAACATTCGTTTTGCAACCTCACTGTCTATAGAGTCCTAAATTTTTCAATTGTAAACTGTACACTCACTTCCAATAGCATGTTTTAAGCTTTTATGTTTTAAAAATTACACTTTTTATATCATCTCTAAATGGAGCTGTCTACTCGAATCACTTTAATTCACATTCACTGCATAAAGCAACATTTCAAAATGAAACCACACTGAGATGTAGTCAAATTAACATCAGAGGTACTTATGTGCTCGGTTTGCAACACCAACAGAAAAAAATTAAGTTCCAATCAAACATAAGCAAAGCAGTGTGAGTGTTTCCAGACCTTGGTTCCCGGAGGTAGACCTTCTAACTGCTTAGGTTTTCGAAATGTCCTATGATGTTGAGTTTTGTGATCCACTTTTTCTTTACACGTCAAAAACTGAAGTTTGCATTTACTGCAGCGGTAAACTCCTTTTTTCTGAAAAAAGTGTAAAATATTAATTTGAATTTGTAATGTAAGATTGCTATGCAAGATAAATGCTGGAAATTTGTGAGTTTTTCTATGAATGTGGTTAGACTGTACTTCACATGTAATTTGTTCAGGCTACAGTCACTCATCTCATTTGAGGATAAACTGTTTACAATATATTCTGTGAAGCGATGTGAAACGTCTCAATAACATGATAAGACGCTATATCAAATGCAAGGATTATTATTGTAAAAAAAATTGACACTGGCCTCACATTCTTTGTTTTGCCAAGCATCATTTTTTTGGAACAAAAATATACGGTTATTTAAAACAAATGTTGATTTAATGGTTGGTTTATTTCAATGGTTTATTTCAATGAAACAAATATACTGGGTGGGGACTTGAGAACTTCCATCAAAGCAGAGAAAGAATCAACCCAAGTACCAACTGGTACAACATCATTGAATTTAACAATGACTCTTTCAGTGCCTTTGGCAAAAAAATGCAAAAGGACCATTTAACAAGATGGTTTCCAACATCTCATTTGCAAGTTCTATCTGAACATTGTCTACGTTCTTTTTGGCTAAACTCTATTTTTTGTTGTTGTTTTTAAAGTATTTACACCATTTACAGAAAAAAAAATTCAATCTAGAAAAGGAGCAATCTCAAGCCATGGGAGAGGGTTGAAGCTCTCACAAACAAATCAAGAGAATGATTACTTACCAGAACTTACTGGACTGTCAGCACAAAACAGTTGAATTCTAAAATTACAACCAGTAAGATGGAGGAGGAATAAGACTGACAATATTTGCTGAATATTTCAATTTATAATAAAGCTGCACTATTAGGTCTGAGCCGTGCCTCAAGTTCAATACGGGGACAGTACATAACTGGAGACGTTGGTCCATAGCTGGATTCAGTTATGCTGACTGTTCAAATTGTTCAGTTGTATGCCACAAATAGACTTCTCCATAGTGACAGTGACAAACTGAGATGTTCAATGTACCCAACAGTAAATGTCAAAAAATATGTAATTGATTACCAACCTACTTCTTCTTCCCCCCTTTCCCCCTTATGCTAAGCATGTTTCCGCATATCCCGGTTTCTTATTGAAAACGTATTGAAACCGGGAATGTTTTCTGAAGATGTATGGCGGCAATTCTAAACTAAAAAGAACTAAAAACTAAATTATTTGTCATTTGGAGAAATGTAATATTCTTCACAATCATTTAGCAAGACACTGACAAAATTTCAATTTCATGTTAATATCAATACTGCACCTGATGTTTCATGTAATGCTGAACATAAGCATTTCCACTTTTAATGACCTTAAGGCAAAAAGGGCATAGCAACTGCTTGGTACTTTCATGAATAATGCGGAAATGAGCATCAACATCGGAATATACTGACGAACGGTAGTTGCATGCCTACAAGGGAAAGGGACAAATAAAAACCATTAGAAGATTTTTCACACAAAAAAAGTTTCAAGAGGAGATATTTGTTTATTTATGGAAGTCAATGAATTTTTAAATTACCTGACAAACATATGGCATTTCACCTGGTTTATGATTGTCCTTCATGTGCTGTAGAAGTACTTGCTCAGATTCATAGGATAGCTCGCAAATTCTGCAAATTGCTAGTTGACAAAGAATGACCACAATTACAACAAAGTGCAGTATAGCATTTGCCTCTGCAAGCAAGTTTTATGTTATAATTTTACTGAAATCAAAATAAAATTGAACTGGAGGTGAATTGTGCCACCGAGGCGAGTTTACTAACAATATTATTTGATGGTGGTAAACTATCAGTTATTTTTAAAATAGTACCAATCTCATGCATTTTGTTGAAAAGTATAATCTGTTACGCATTTTATGAATGAAATTAAGACACCTGAGCTCTTATTGCATAAGGAGGAAAATCAGAGTGGACATCACATGCTTCAAGTAAAAAAAAGACAAGAATGGCTTTTACTTTTGGTTCATTTCCACATTTCATATTTATGGCATCTATTTTTCTTTGTTTAAAATGTATACTCGTTTTATCTTAGCTCCTATTTATATGTTGAATAAACTGTTCTTCTCTTACAAAACAGTTTTGAAAAACTTTCCACATTTTAACTCAGCTTCAGTTTTCAATTTATGCTAACTTTCCATGGCAGCCTCCATGAAACATTCAGCTACAAAATACACTTATTAGATTTTACAGTTAAATCCTATGAAGCACTCTTAAGAAAACCTCTCGACATGAAAGGTACTATATCAAATATAAGGAGTATAAGGATTATTATTATCTCTTTAAAAATTTCTATTTTTGTATTCTCCAAGTTTTCCAGCAGACTTTATTTCGCTATCACGTCAACCAATACTGGTGGACTGGGCACAAAGGTGTTTTAAATACTACCCTAACTACACCACCTCTCACGTCCTTTCACCTCTGGGGCCTTGATTTGATTGCAAAACAGATTCTTTCTACGAGTTGCAGAAAATAAGTCTGAGAATTGTCTACACTATGTGTGGTGGGCATGAACCCTCAACACAAGTGTCCACCATATTTGGAGTAGAAAAAAAATTAAACTTTCCTTTGTATTTTGCCACAATGAACTACTGTTATGTGTACTCAATGCTCACAATCATTTCTCAAAATTGAAAAGCACTGGTCACTGAGCACCACAAAAGTAATTCAATGTTATTTCAGAGATTAACTTCAATTAAAAACAAAGTTCGCATTATTAAAAATATGTTAGCAGAAACAGATCAAAAAGATCCTTTGTGAGTAATTGTGAGTCCTGAGTAATTGTGACATCTGATCATTTAAAAAAAAAATGCAAAGTAAAAAGAAAAACTACAATTTTGGAAATTTGAAACAAAAATGCTAGATGCGCAGCAGGTCAATCAGCAACTGAAAGAGAAATAGTTTATTTTCTCGGGTCAGACTCTTCATCAAAAAAGCATCACGGTCATGCTCAAACCGTAACTTATTTTTCTCTTTCAGATGCTGATTCCATTATTGATTTCCAGCGTCAGGTTTTATTCATGTTGTAAATGACATTGGTCTACTGTGGTACAAAGTAGCTGTTTTAATTACTGCTCAGACAACATCATTTTTCCTCATGTTCAGAGGGGCAGCAAAAAGAACACAAAAGCAAATTACATTTCGAAAGCACACACCCAATTTATTCCTGGATCCGCTTTAAATAACCAGGTAAAAATGGAGAATAGTGCCGTGACCACCAGACCTTTACTTTGCGTTGTTATTTTAGACTGGTGCTCCAACTTTTTCAAATGAATATTCAATCAAAAGGAAAATACTTCACATTATGCTGTTTTTGGCAATGAATGAGAGAGAGAGAGAGAGAGAGAGAGAGATAGAGAGAGAGAAAAGAGAGAGAGAGAGAAAAGAGAACACCGATTAAAAGGCTCTGACTTGATGAAGATTTATGAAGAAAACAAATAATGATTTGGAAACTCAGCTAAGATAGTACTTTGAAATTTTTCAAGTTACGCGTGACAGAGCTACTTGCCAGGTAATTCTTTTAATCTTAAATTTTTTGAACCGTTCAGGAAAGTATAAACATAGGCACATAGAACTTGACACTGACAAGTAGAGAAACTCTTTGTATTTTTTCCACAATGAATTGTAGACCAAACATAGTTTGTCAAAGAAAGCGGCAAAAAAAAAAATTCTTCCAAATCTTGCACCGACTGACCTCAACTGATATTTGATAATACAAGTTGTTGTTAATAATTCCACGCAATGCAAATAATCTACAACTTCAAGAAAGAGCCTCATAAGAACCATTATTTGGCCAGTTGTAGCAAGCTTTAAAATAACAACATTCTACTGTAAATGTGAAGTTGGACTGCAGGAATAATGAGAATGTTGTTCTATTCCTCTAGGCCTCTCAAGTGGTTTAGGGGACCTAAGAAAACAAGAATTGCAAAAGGTCCCACGAATGCAAAAACCAAGGACTGTTCTATTTTACTGAGAAAAGCTTAGAAAAAGCGTGAGCTGCAGTCTAAATAATAATGCTGCTATTTCAATCAAAAATAATCAGTATATTGTTGGGAATTTTGTTTTGAGGTGAGCTGAATACACCCCAGAATTCCTCCACAATAACATTCAGGCATAGTGAAAAGAGTTTAATCCATCACCTTAAATGGACTGAATTCCACTCCAATCCTTCCCAAATGTTTGACAATATTAGTCGTGATCACAAACACAATTAGTTATTGGAACTGCCCATCGAGACAACTCCAACATCACAACAGTATACATTTAAAACAAACAGTAATCATATCTCTGGGATGATGGAAACTAGTTTAATATTTTTCTCCCTTTCATCCCCAAATTCCATACAAAATTAGTTACTTATACTATTCAGATGAATCAAAAGTGCATCCTTCCAACTGTACCTCCTCCCTCTAATTCACCTCTTCCCCCCCCACTCCCACACACACAAACGTTCAGACACATCTCACACAACACCAATTCTCAATTCATGGCAACTCTGAACTCAAATCCTATCTGTAATGACTGAAATCCCCAGACCAATTCAGAAAGATCTTTGATTTTTCCTTGAAAAAGTTCACAATAGATTCTTGACCAGGGTTTTCTCCAGTATTAGGGGATCAATGCAAGATTCCGCAGGCAGTTATTTGAAAAACAAGTCAGAGAATTTGGGCCAAATGTCAATGTAAGATCTCTTAAATGCGGACAGAAACCTGATTGTCATTCTTATTTTGTTTCTTTTGATATGAAGCAGCATAATATCCACTTTGAAACATTCGAGCCACTTAATCAAACTTACAATGGGAGTGACAGGATGGTATTAAGCAACTTTTCTGTTGACACTTCTGTTGAAACGTACAAAAGGGCAATCACTTACTCGTTGACTCATATGGGCTGTGTGCAGTTTCAATGTGGCACTGGAGCTGAAACGGTGTGGGAAACTGGCGATAACAATGCTGACAGGTGGTATGGTTTTCCCAGCTCTCACTGCTCTGCTTCTCGAGTTCCATGTGATGTTTCATGTGGTTCATAAACCTGATGATGACAACCAGCCAGCTGCTTAAAACGTTTCATTTCATCTCTTAACATAGGCAACTATCACATTAAATAAGATTAAAATAGATTGCACATAGCTAATAACCTGCAAAATATCCTAAATTTGCAAAATACAGTTACAATGTTGAATTTTTTAATACATTTCATGTATGCAGCACACAAGGAAAAAAACAGTGAAAAGGTTCACTTTAATGTATTTGCCATCAATTTTGGATTATAATCGAGATAAAAAGACAGCATTGTTTTGCACCTCCAACCAAATAGCTTTCGCTGCAGCTTGAATCCACCTCAATAATGATTGTTAAATTATATAAAATGATCACACCAAAAGTTCTTTACTTTTTATTTTAATAATAATTGTATTAAAATTATTATAGACTTCTTTGCTTGACAAAACCTTGACCTATTTAGTTATTGAAAAACACATTCTAAATGACCATATAACAGTACAACTGCATCTTCTTGGAATTATGCTCATTTTCAGATCAACTGTACCAAGCAACAAGGAAGCTTCTCAGATACGATGGTTCTAGTCACAAGTTGTATACACTCAACTTCTCCTGCAAGAAGTCAGGTGTGTTGTGTTAACAGGTTTAAGTTTTCAATAAATGTATCTTAAATTACAGAGAAATTCCCTAGCTGTGAATTTATTCTACACCTCAGTTTCACGTGTGGCACGCAGTACAAAGCTTTGCATTGCTGCTGAGGAGCTGAACTATGGAATGGAGACTGATAAAACGCATTTTTAAAAACTATGTTTATTGTTTTATCACTTGGGTTTTGGAGGAATGGGCACATGGAAGTTTTATACTGGCTGCTATTGGAGAGAGGTTATTTTGGGACACTGGAGCCATCACTGTTAATTGAACACTGCACCTATAGGAATTTTAAGATTGACATTGCCTCCACGGAAATCAGCAGTGGTTCGAATAAAATTGCATGCAAAAAAAAGATGAATATAAGAGCAGAAAGACGATTAGCTAATTTGCGTTTTATTTGTACCAAAAAGAGTGCAAATCCATACAGAAAGCTCACTTTCATATTTATTATTTCTTGTTACACGTCTCACAAGTATTCATTAGATTTTCTAGTTGCTCTGATGACAAATCACTTGTACATCTACTTAGGTCTCTATTTCTAAGTGCATGTAATAGCGATTAAAATACCCTCAATTATGAACAGCTCTTTCTTTACTTGAGAATGCTCACCTCACCTATTACTACTACTCAACTTATTTTATCATACAAGCTGTGCCCTTAAAAGCCCTGCCCATATTTCAATTTTCACATTTTGCTATTTCAGCTTCCCTTAAAGGATTCTTACTCAAGGCAACTATGACCTTAGCTGCCAGGAAATGACTATGATACAAACGGGTCTGGCTGTTAAAAGAGCTTACAGAAGCCTTTTTGCTGCATTTTAAAGTAAAGTTATTCAATCAAAAAGAACAGTTCTTACACCGTATAAAACAACTATTTTTCACTTTACATCCCTGAAGGGAATTCCACTGAAATCTGCTGATAATGCCATCAATCTGTACAAAAAAATGGTAATGAAGCTTGCGCAGCTTTGTACTACATTCTCATGGTGCAGCAAAATCACCCTCTGGGATTGTTATAAGCACATTCACCACTTTTACTTTGGTTTCCTGACTGTGTATGAAGTTTTGTTCCCCCAATACAATTGAGGTTATTTTCTTTGTTTGAATCATCAGCATGTAAAGTGTGATTGAAAATAAAACAAAAGACAAAACACACATTATCAATGGAGTAAATCAGAACTCATGTGGAGTATAAAACTGGCATGGACCAGTTGAGCCAAATGGTCTTTTTAAGTGCATTATTCTTTGTATCTCACATTCTACCACAACCACATTCGCTTTGAGTTTTGATTAAAAACTACCCTAAAACAGAAACACCAGGCCTACTATCTACCGCCACAACATAAGAATCAATGTGTTCAATTTTCTCACTCCATATCCACCCTACATCCACTAATCCCATTCCCAAACATATATTTTAATAATATTTTTTTGTGCCTTTTTGAAAGAATAAATCCACGTTTCATCACGTTTTTGCTGGGGGTTGTTTCACATTTTGAACCAATTCCTCCGGTGAAAATAAAATTCCTCTACATTCAAGCTTATTTTAATTATTTTCTTGTTTAGCTCTCACAGTCCACACCAAATATCCTGCTTATATCCATAACACTTCTATCTCTCAGCATTTTAAAGACATAGATCAGATCTTTCAATCTTCTTTTCTTCACTGAACAACTTCAGCTCTGCAAGTCTCTCATCATAATTTAACACTCGATGTCCTGAAATCATCCTTGTCATTCTTTGACGATACTCCAAGGCACCAATGCCAAAACAGCACATAATATTTCAAATCTGCCTTAATCAGTGATCTATACAAGGCTGAAATATTTATTTTGACTTTGAGTCAATTGTCCTTGATGTACCCAGGCATTTGATCAGCTTAGTTGATAACATCTTCAAATTGATTAGTTTTTTTCCCCTAGAGAATAAAGATTTATCATAGCCAATTCCTTTCCCTTCTCTACCTTTTTAATGGACATCCTTCATCATGTCCACATTTGCTGTTTCCTGCTCCAATATGCATTACCTTACATTTACCTAAATTAAATTCTATGTCATTCCTTAGTTTATTTGCTTTATTGGTTAAGATTGTTTATGAATTTTCCATCTACCTCATATTTTTCATCTGACCATTTATTGTAGCTTTGAATCATCAGTATTTTTTAATAATATTGCACAAAGTATTTTCCTCTAAGTTATTTTATAAATAGTGTGTAAAGGGACTCGGTTATGCTTTTAAAACTCCTCCAGTCACAGTCATTTTCAATATTTCAAAAGATTCAATCCATAAATTTGAATATTAGTAGTATTACGGTTATATCTTACATTTAAGTAATTAAAATGCACATGAATACCTTATATTATTCTTAAGAATCTTCAAACAGCTGTAGCACTTAAACGTTGTGTTTGTCTTCTGATCTGGCAATATTTGGTGAGCTTCACCATCATCTTTCCCATAATAAAAGTCATTGACCAACATAATCAATTTCCCACTCTCGGTTTCCTCAAGCATGTTGAGACAATGTTCAGAGGATGGTACTGGACAGTAGCTGGACACCAAATCTGGGCAGCAGAACTCAAGTACAAAGACATTTTGGTGTCAATTATCAGGATTAGATTCAAATTTTGAATTCAATTAACACAATTTTAAAATGAGAGTAAGTACATGCCAGAAATTAAAACCTGACAAATATTCATAAACATATTGGTTAACTGCTTTTCAAACTATTTTAAAAAAATCTCAAAGTGATGAATATCAATTTCTGCTTGAATTACAGGCAAGTATAACTAATATATTAAAATTTCTCTTGACTTATTTCCTAAGCAATTGCTATCAAGATACTTACAACCATATGTTGCCGCAAAGAATCCAAGATGTTGAAGTGAATGTTACATTTTGGACAAGCCCTTGGGACTGGCACGCCATTCTTAATGTTACTTTGTGTTCCTGCCAAAAAAAGTTATTGTTATATGCCAGGGTACATTGGAACACACCGTTGTATCCTATATTTTATCTCCCAATTTTATATCAGTAAAAAAAACATAGTATTTATTGATGAAGTTTTCCAATTTTCTCCAATTTGAGGAAAATTCACATCGTTACATTTTTTAGAATAAAAAAATTGTTTCGAAGTACAACAATTGCTGTTTTCCAGGTCCTGCACAATGCACAAGGTCTCAATGCACAGTATCTCCACCATCACTGTGTGTTGTGCAGTGATGCTAACAATTTTAAACTCCTACTTTTTACAGTGTCATAATCATTGAAGCTAACGCAAACTGTAAAGCCATTAATACCCACAAAGTTATAAAAAGATTTTACATACTCCTTTTCTCATCAAATATAAAAGATGAAAAAATGCAAGTTTATAAATGTGGTAAATTTACGCTTTTAAAGGTGCTTTATCAACTTGTTCTTACATATAAATAATGCAAGAACAAGTTGATAAAGCACTTTTAGAAGCACATAAAAAATAAGTGTCGCAAAGTACTTTGAGAAATATTATTTTGACTGGAAATGAAAATAAATGTTGGATTATATATATGTAATGTATATGCATGCTCTATTCTGATGAAATAAAAAAAATACCTTTTGAGGTACTGCTATAAGGTGGCACCAATGTAGGACAACTGTTTGAAGATGATAAAATTGGTGAATTGATTCCAAGTCCAACTTCAATGTTTTTTGGTTTCTTTGAAGTAATGTTATTTATCTCACAGATTGCAGGACGCTTGTTACTGACATTCGTGCACTGAGTTGTACTCACTGTGATGAAAAACAAATAAAAATATATATATTTTAAAAGTGCCGGGTTATTTAGACTACAGTATTCTTCAAGTAATAATACTGTTATATTTTCTCTGTTACTGACACATAGACTGACACGTTGCTTCAGTAAATGTCCTATTCAGTTGAAGTATATTGTTGAAGAATCACAAAAATGACCACCGAATTTCTACGATCCAGTTTATTTGAAGAGGAAAATCACTTGGGACTTCAATGCAAAGCAACTTCCCTTAAAAAAACAAATTCCTCCCTAAAAAAATACTTACAAAATAATTTGAAGAGAAAAGCCATATTTGATTTCCACACAGAAAAGGCCAATCCCATAATTTATATGATGGAAAGTTACTGAAACCTTCAGAGATGCACGTCTATATCCAAGAACCTGCTGAGGCAGTTTCTCAGCCAGTGGCACATCTTTGAGCCAAGACTAGCATCCAGGAACTCAAGAAATAATAATACTGCTCTCAATGTTCTTCTAATTGACTGGAAAGGAACCCAGATAAATTAATCAAGCTGATTTCTTACTCCTGGAAAATTTCATGGTACAAGTAAACTTTATGATCAGTAAAGAATAAGATACTCTTGCTCACCGAGATCAATAATTTAACTCACCTACAAAGATCAATGCATTTACGGATCAGTGGAGAATCGCCTATGTTTTTCACAGATACATGCACAATCTATTTATAGACTTTTTCTATCAGCTCAAAACAGACGTGCTTGATATTTTGTTTGAATTATTTTATAACAAACTTGAGAGGAAGGAATGTGAACTATACATAAAAGTATTTCATCTGTTTCCCTCTCAGTAGCTTTCTCTTTAAACCATGAGCTTTATACAGATGATTAGTTGTAATTAGAAAGCAACTGTGATGTAGAAGTGTATAATGCACTAGAAACTAAACTAAACTTGGATTTCCTCAACTTACGTAAAAGTAAAGGTCACAAAATAAGTCCATACTTCTCGTTTTTTACCCCACTAATTTTTCTTCTCTATTTTCCTGCCTTAATCTTTAATAGTTATGAAAAATCTATTCTCAGTGACAACCAGTTTTCTCCAACAATCATTTAAATGAGGTTTTATGATCCAAAGATTTCTGGTAATTTTTAATAGGATTCACTTTTACTGTTTAGCATTTTGATTAGAACTTTGAAAAATCATGAAATAATTAGACCATTCAGCCCATCAAGCCCCTTTTTTCATAGATGTACTCCACTACGTGAATCTCCACTTAGTGAAGGAAAAATTCTGCACGTTTCCCTAACTTTTATGAGGTAATGAAGCATAAATTCCAGAGCATGTATCCACATGTACATCTCTTCTATTCAACCGTGGCAGATTACATTTTCTTGGTATGAAGAGCACAGTTACTGCATTTTAAATACAGTAGTTCATTTATTGCTGGCTTTCAATATTCCTACTACCTTCAATTCCATTCCATTCAGATATTCCAAGCTTATTATAAGTTCAATTCAAAAATATACAAGTTCAGGATTTGAAATAAAACATGAAAAGAACATCTGAAAGGTAAACACTGATTTCTGGAAATATGTTAAAAAATAAAATGAATTACTCATAGCCTAAAACCAAAGAAAAATTCTGACAAGATACTTTAGTAGTTTTACTAGAAAATTGGTCATTAGCAACATTACATTACAGACCTCTGACAATCACCTGCTGTCTGAACAGAGAATGTGTAATGTACATTACAACATTCATAAAGCAGTGAGACGGAAGGGCAAAATTGCTACTTCAACCAAACACACAAAAATAATATTACATCTAATGTCACTGAGCCCCACCCCATTAAAAGTGAAAAGTTTTGACGTTCTTTCTTCTGTTTTAACTATTAGACTGGGATGACTGATGACCTGAGGTGGCTTTGAATAATTCATCTGGATCAACTTTGCCCACTTGAATTTGCAGCAACATTCTGTAGAGGTGAATTAACTTGAATGGGAATATGGCTGATATTTAGAATTGCTGTACAACCAAGCAATGAGCAGCAAGAATCCCAGACTGTTTCCCCCCTCCCTAGCCTGGGCACATTGAACCCAACTATACTCCCTCCATTAAATTTTAACTGGTACCAAAAGGTAGACATTAAGTGGCAGTGCTCGCTAATGCTTAGTGAGATAAGGATACAAAACTCAAACAAGAATTACTGAAGATACTAATGAAGTTCAGTGCTCAAAAGCCAGCAAATGTCATGGAATGTACAAACCTGAACTAGTAATAAATCAACAAGAACAGAAAATATTCTTCAGCAAACAAGCATCATTGCAACAAAACAATTTTCAAAAGAAGTTTAAAAACCTGCAAAAGACCTTGGTTTGGGGATTCTACATCATTTTTGCTTCGGAAACAGAAAGTTCAGTTTTTGTTTTAAAAAAAGCATCTGAAATCTCTTCTCAGTCTATAAATATTTAAACCGAGATCACAAACTTGTGACAATGTTTAAGTGGAACAATAATACACCAGTTATTTCCAGGTAATCTAACCACGAAGACTGAATAATAGTTATGATCAAGTTTGCAGTTATAAAATTGAGATGGCATGACACTTATATATAGGGCCACGTCTTTCGGTTACTTTTTTTTAAAAAAGAGAATGGATTCAAATTCTTCATTTGAATCTTGTTGACTGATGAAATTGAGTTACTTTTCTGCCAGCTGTAAGAGTACTAAATGAAATGAGTTTGGGCATCGTATTAGGAGTAGAGCAAAGCATGTCCTATTAAGAGACGTGAAGAATGAAATGTCTGGACACCTGGTCTAGTTGGCAACCATCCCAGAATCCTTAAGGAAATAGGTGAGCTTCTGGTTAATATTTCCAGGAGCCTTGTAAATACAGGAGCTACACCAGAAGACAGCAAATCTAAGCTGATAAAAAAAGACGATGAATCCAGAAACTATAGATCAGCTAGCCTAACATCCATCGTAATAACATATCAAGAATGTTCAATTGGAAAAGAAAGAAGGCTATAGGAGTTGTCAACATGAATTTAAAACCAATAGATCATGGCCTCGTAAACCCACTGGAATTATTTAAGGACGTAACTAAATTGGTTGATGAAAGCAGTCCGTTGAATATAATTTAGTTGGATAGTGTTAGATGGCATTCCATAAAGCTTCACAAGCAAGGCTCTTAAATAGAATTAAAGTTCATGAAATTAAATGGAAATTAACTAATTGTACTGAAAACTAGCTTGGCAACACAGATAAGGTAGTAATGGTAAGTGGAAAAAAAATGGCAGGTTTGTAACGGGAGGAGGGAAATCAGAATTGTGGCCTCTGCTACTCACATTATTCACCAATGGAATGAAGAAGGGATTTTTCATCATATACATTTTTTGACAATTAAAGGAAAAAAGGTTCTCCACCAAATACATTGAGGAATAGAGGATTATTTGAATGAAAAATAATAAAAGGTTGTGAAATTGGAACATGAAACATGGGATTTAACTAAGGGATGTCACTGGCAAGGTGGAAAGGAAAAGAATGTGGATATGATTATTACCTTTCATTGAATGCTGAGATGCATCCTGTGGATGTTTGATAATTCTAACCTTGTAGAGACGAAGCCACATTTGGAATATTGTGTGCAATTTTGAGCATCCTACCTTCAAAAGGCCATCGGTATATTGGAGAGGGATCGGAGAGTCCCAGGGCTGATTTCGGGACTTAGGGCTCCAACTTACAAAGAGACTCCCAGAATTGACCTTGTTATAACTGGAGAAAAGAAGATTGAGAGGGAACGCGATCCAGGTCTCTAAAATGCCGAGAAGCATGGATAAAGTAGATGGAGGTAGACTCTTTTCAGCTGAACAGTAAGCAAAGAACTAAAAGGACATGTAAAAAAACTAGGATGCCACAAATGAGACTGAGGAAGCCAATTAGTCAAGAATGACTAAATGTAGGATGCAACATTGGATAGATATTTTGGAGTTTTGCTCAAATTATCCTTTGGTGAGGGAACAGGCAGAAACTTTGCTGAATTTTCGCTTTACCCATTTAATTTTTGAGGAAAAATCCACAATAGTGGAATATCATGCTTAATACCCCAAAATGACTGTCTTTTCTATGCTTTCCTGATTCAGAGAAACTACTAACCTACACCCAAGCTACCTATTAAGCTCAAAAATAAATGTTACTGGGTGAAAACAAATAATCAAGTACCTTTAGTCTTACAAAGCATACATACCTGAAACAGCAGGAATAGTTGGTTGGCTTTGATAGCGTGTTACACTTGGGTTCGGCCTTGCATTAAAAAGTACGCCTCCTGAACTTTGAGATGCAGATGAACTTGTATCTTTTAAAACAAAGCCCTAAAAAAAGGAAAAAAGAGCTTTTAAAAAATAAGTAAGATGTAATCAACTAAAGTCAGTTTTAAATGCCATCAATCTGACAACTAATCATAGACCATTTTAAGATGCTTTCCTTTTAAATTCATGCTACCAAGTAAGTATATTCAATCACAAGTATAAGCGGGGCAGGGGGGAAGGAGGAGGAAGAAAAAGTGAAAGTATCAGTCAGAATTCCTACTTTAATTCCTGTTACTGCTGAAAGTAATATGTGGATGTCAGGCAAAAATAAGATCAACTTCCCCTGCCAACATCACTGACCACTCTCACATGGAGATTATCCAAGTGGGCAAAGCATCAAAGGATTTATAGAAACTGCAACCGTACTCTGGTCTCTAGTACAAATCACTAACTTCAAAGGAAGACATGTCCACATGACATGAGCATAATAGGAATCTATTTTAAATATCAATATAAAACGACATAAGGTTATGTACCATTAACTTCTATCACAAGAAATCACTTGTGAAGTTTAACAATCATGAACATTGTTTACTGGAAGAAATTATCTTAGCATATGACCCATCCTAGAACTTGGCAATTTTGACACAAATCTGTTGACCATCAGTTGAATAAAAATACGAAGATTTTGGATTTGCTATCATTGTTCTCTCAACCCTAGTGTCTTAAGTCATGCACCATTTCCCAAAGGAACAGGGTCGGCAGAAAATCTACTCATGTGCCTCTGATACAGCCGCACATGATTCTGTCATAAAGACATGTGCAAGAATCGCCCGATTTTCCGTCCGTCCCTCTGGAATAACAAATTCCACCTCAAAGCTCACAATATGCTGAAAAAAGGATTTCACCATCTGGGAAGCTGTAAACACAAACCTTAGCACTTCATAATCTAAGGTGTTGCCACTTCAACATACTGGCCCCATTCACCACCCTGCATACCATCTTAAATGCAGCCAACTACTTCAAAGGTAAAATCTCTATAAAAGGGAACTTCATCTAATGTATACAAGTGTCATCACCATTTACCCCCCAAAAAATATGCGGTTAAGGTAAGATCAAGAATAACTAAAAAATATAAAAATAAGTGTTATTCAGTGCAAAATTTCAGTCGACCAATCGAACTATTTACAATCCTAATAAGCTTTCCAGTTCCAAGCAATTTTTCAACTATTATATTCCTTTCAAGAACAATTGTCTTTATTCTTTGAGTACGAATTTTAAAAAAAGCACCTGTGGGCAAGCATATTCAGCATACTTTTAATGTTTATTGTGGACAAATACTGAGTTTCAATATATTTGGAGAATACAGTCTACAAAGGAATGCTTCTAAAAAAAATGTTCGAAAGGGTTGATTTAAAACACATACTGTGGTTTGCTTGCAGTAAAAAGACTACCATTTAGAAAAAAAATCTAAAAACAAAATGGTTTTACCATCTTATGGTTGAAACCACGTCACAATTTCTAATTGTCATCTTAAACCCCAGCTGAGATGAGAAGCACATTGCAATTACTGAATTATAATCAGTTGGTTGGTTCCAGCTCTCCATTTTTAACGATCCTCTCTCTCCTCAAACCTTCCCACCCCCAACAACATTCATCCCATAGCCATTTAGAATTCACTGATGGCTTTGATGCAGAGGATGGGAATCATGAGAGATCTAAATGAAACAAATACAGCAACCATTTCATTCAAGATTAATTTATCAGCACACTCAATAGAGCAATTGAGATGCACAACTTATGTAATTAGAGTTACCTGTGTTAATTTCATAGGTTGTGTTGTTAATGAAGCAGTTGGAGGTCGGCCTACTGGTTGATATCCTGCCATAGTGCTAGAATTTGATAGAGCAGAAGCCCCAGACTGCTGGTTGGTTGATTGTGTGGATGATGAGCCTAGCAAAAGGAAAGAAAAAATAATTTGGCCATGAAGATGCAAAGATTATCCATCATGTGAAGCACCATCCACCTTCATTCTTTGAATGGAAGGCAATCTTCATCTATTGTTAGGTACCAGCACAGGGGGTAATCACAGGGACAATACCTTTTAAACTGATTCATTGGTTGCACTTTGCAAAAGGTTTCATAAGATGAACTCTCAAGCACTGCAATACTTCCACCTTTCTCCCCTTAGAAAGTTTCAACAGCTATTTTTCTAAACGTTAGTGTCATCAAAATTTTAGGGACTTTAATCTGAGTTTATAAAATCATTACTTGACTGGCAACAGTCACTTGTCTTGTTTCTAAGAGCCCATGTTCCTAAAGTTTGATGCTGTTCGTTTGCTACTTATTTGTGAACAAGGAAATAATTTTAAGATTAAAAGAATGAATTACTTTAATGTGTCTTACCACTATTAAAGGAGACCATCATGCCTCTACTAAGTCCACCATTTTGGATTCCTCCTTGTTGTGTCACATTAAAAGTTGTATTTGCTGATTTGTTGCCTTAAAAAAAAACATAAGCAATTCAAATCATTTTCTACAGAAGACAGGAAAGTTGGGCAATGTTTTTTAAAATAAGAAGTACTATAATATTCTGCAAATCCTCTTTGTCAGGATTTGCTCCGCAACTGTTAAACGCTTTGAAACACTACCCTGTGTGGGAGAGCACTATATAAGTGCAAGTTGTTGTTGTTGCCTCTCTGCTTTCACCACAGTCGAAGCACAATTCAGTGGTTGGTCAGTGTTAAATAATGGCCAAGGTTTGTTCTGCAGCCTATCAGTCTCACTGATATTTGAGCTCAAGAGTATTATCATTTAAAAGCTGCAAATAGGCAAAACAAATTGTAAGCGTTTGTTAAAAATAGCTAAGATTTATGCATGTTGTTGTTGTTGTTGTTGGCATTAGCTTGCCCATATCATGTGGAAGTTATTATCTGGGCAAAGAACCAAACAATAACTTCACATACTACTGTATCAGGAAAAGACACACAATTCAAAATTGGTCTGGTTACAATACCGCTGTAACACAGTTAACTAAAGTTAAATGCTAACCAGGTCTCAACTCATAAACAGCATCAATATTGCATACAAGGTTTTCATTCAACAAAATGTTGACAAGGGTCTGGAAAGTACAAACAGCAACCAATCTTCAAACTGCAAACCAAATAAATCATGAAATTTTGAAAACATCATTATGTTCCTTTTATATAAAAAATAATGAAAACATGGCAATTATTCTTAAAAGTTTAAGTTTTAAAATAATCAAACTTTGATAAGAGATAATAACAAACCTTGCATTTGATATAGCGTCTTATCATGTCTTTGAGACGTTTTAAAGAGCTTCACAGAATATTCTATAAAGTAAATTTACCTTGTGTTTTGTGGGCAAAATAATCATTTTTAAGTGAATAATTTTTCTGTTCTTTTATTCAGAACATTTTTAAAAAACAGCTTCCGGCCCTTTTCCACGTCCAAAATGAATTATGTTCCTTCTGTACATTCTCCTCTCCCCTCCAACCATAAAGTATTCTGACAGCAATTAGAACTCTTAATACTGAATTAATTTGACCACACCCACAAAATAGACTAATACACTACCCAACCCAGTAACTCCAGAACAGAACTTTGATTCATAGAAAAAAGAGAAAGGATGAATTTTCAATGATACATGAAATTTTATTTGTGTAGAATAAACCATGACAAAAAGAGCAAGTCTGGTTTTAAGAGGACGGATTAAGGGGTAATAATTATAGTAGATTCATAGAGAAATGGAGGGAAGAGAGGGTTAAATTGATTGAGCAGCTAAAGATATTTTTCTCTCTTGAGAAGACTGATGATTTTTATTATTATATCATGTTGTATAGGCAGTAAATAAAACACCTGACCCAGAGGACCTATTTGCCAAATGATTCTTGAAAAGTGTGACAGGCCAAGCTTAAGGAGCTTCACAGCTCCATAAATACAATATTTACTGGAGGCAGATTCTGAATCCTCGAATTGAGACTTCAGGAAAGACTGGGGGATCAGACTTAGGTTTGGTCACCCCTCAATTCGGCAAGGAATATCGCAGGGAATCCTTCTCGTCAACTATGAAACTGAATATTAGATTTGCACAGTACAAACAAAATCATAATTGACTGTCTAGAGAATATGGTCACTTCAACATATACTTTTTGGCAATGCTTCACATTGGGCATAAAACAATTATGTTTCAAATTATAGCATTCTACAAAAATATCCAAGTCAGAAGAATATTTTAAGAACATATTCATTGGGATTTAATGCTTGGTTTAACATTTGCACTCAAGTAACCAAAAACAGCTATCTCCACCCACTTCAAAAGCTGAAAATATCCAAATACTTTTAAATTATAATAATGGTGGAAAATCATTGCAATTAAAGAGTTTCATATTGGACTGTAATCAACTGCAATTAAAGTCTTAATAGTTACATCACTGCCTTCCTACATTATTTCATTCAAAAGATATGAACATCCTGTAATTCCAATAAAATGTTTGGCAACTTTCTATTGCTCCTGCTCATATCCATTTATAGGGCAAAATACTGTGTAGTAAACTAATTAGACCCCAGCCTCCTTTAGTCACAATTCACTCGAGTGGTTTATTTGCTTTACACCTGAGTGAATGTTCATCTGTTATGTAAGGGAAAACAATGTTCTGTTCCGTTTGTGTCAAAATCTTATTTACACCAGATAAATAGTGTGGGTTAGAGTGTCAATTTATCAAAAAGAAAAATCATACATGGATAGTTGGAAGTTTTGGAACTTGTAATTTCTCCCACAAAAATCAGTTCATCATCATCCTCTTCAGGATCTTTAGTTGCCTTTTGCCAGGGCTCCAGTTCTTCTTCTTCACATTCCATAAACAGTTCTGCCATTCTGCTGCTTCAGACCTGATTTGAGAGGGGAAGGAAAATGTTCCTTTACTAAAAGGATTTATAGTTATAACACAAACTTAAAATTGGAAGAGGTTTGGATGCAGATCTACTTTAAAAAAAACACAAAATCCAATTCACTTTGTGATTGATATGAATTCTATTTTTAAAATATTAAATACAAAATTAAGTTCTTCTTCTAATAGGCTCTCCTTATGCATACGCACCATCAAATGTGAATCTAGTTGCTTCAAGTCACTGTGGTTGAAGACTAATTACTAATCAAAATTATTACATCACAGTGGTATACCTGACAATGCAGCCAAACAAAACATGGAATATGAAATATACCGCTGAAGGCCACATTACTACTCAGCACACGCCTCTCCTTCTAACTGTATGTCCACCATATTATGCCTATTTGTAATGTGCCAAATACTTTAAACCAGAATTGAGTCATTGCAATTTGCCCTGCAGGCCACCTGCTAAAAAGAAATGCTTCTGCCAGCACGCTAATTCATACAATTGCAAATATACTGAAGATGCTGCAAATTGATTCAGTCTCTGCTCAAAAATGGCCCCTTTAAAGTTTGTGGTGGCTCCCTCAAGAACACTGAAGGGAGCATTTTTATTGCGATGTTTAATTGAAGAGCCAAGAATGGAACGATTGTATAACAATGAAAACTACAGAGTTCTGCGCGCATTCTTAATTGTATATGCTCTGCCTCGCCTCTAGCCAATGGAGTTTCAAAAGAGAATTACAAATAAGTATTCCCGCTCTTCCTCAATTTACTTCTGCAGGCGAGCTCAAATCACTTCCAACTGAGCATAACACATCCCTCAATGATTTAGATTGTTATGGCTTTAAACATCAAGTCTTTGCAGTTGGTCTCAGTGAATAAAATTCCCCAATTCCCCAATAAAATTAAACCAGAATTTAAAAATAGATTTGCACTATAATCCAAACAAATTCTGTAATTACCAACAAGCCTTTTAATTCTAGTGCTTTAAAGCACAGAAAAACATTAACTTTTAACAGTACTCATCCACTTGGAACAATTCAGTTTAAAAGGTTTCAATGACCAATTTAACTAACTGCAAAAGCATTTTGAATTTAGGGTTATAACACACATTGTAGACCTAAATCAGTACTTACGAGTATCTAAAATAGATACATTTTAATTAAATCAATTCACACATCAATGCGGTCTGTAGATGATTATAAGCATATATTTAAGTAGATCAATTGGGTTCCTATACAAAATGTGATGCACTTCTTAGATCCTTCACCATTGCACCAATCACACGCAGGATGTCCTAAGGAGTTTCCTGACATATCCGATACACAAATAGGAAAATAAAAGACAATGCCACAAATATGGTATAATCTATACTAATAAAGGCAAAATGTCTGTGTGTGTCTGTGTCTACCAAGAACACAATAACCGATTGGCGTAGAGACATGATTTATATCTCATCGGAAAGGTCTTGCATGGGGAGCGTCATGGGCATATTTTTTCAGGCATCTCCTGTTGTTGATGAGCTATATTAAAAAATGCTTTAATTAAGCCCCCAAAAAGATACTACTATTCTGCAACAAAGTAAACGGCAGAGATCCACACTCTTCTAGAGAGATACATATATACTAACAAAGAAGAAATATCTGTCTGTGTGTCTGTCTAACCAACATGATTTATACCTCATCAAAAAGGTCTTGCATGGGGGAGTGTCATGGGCATATATTTTTCGGGGATCACCTATTGTGACCTAAACAAGCTCATCACACATGTATGAACTCCAACAAGGAGTCCTCCCAACACGAGTCCTCCCACCAAGGAGTCCTCCCGACCAGGAGTTTTCCCAAAAGGATGTAAACAAGGGATGCTAACGAGTTCAATGGCACAGTTTCTTAATCTTAAGAGATAAAGATGCCTAAGAAGCGAAGATCAAGCCTTTCAAGGACAAATAAATATGCCAGACGAAAGAGAGAAGGTTGATTAAATGAAACTGGTTGCAAGTGTACCTGTAATAATAATAATCCTTGCATTTGATATAGTACTTTTCACGTCTTCTAGACATCTCAAAGTGCTTCCAGAATATGCTGTAAAGTGAATTGACTGTAGATTTGTGGGTGAAACACGGCAGCCAATTGCGCACAGCAGTGTCCCACAAACAGTCGTGGATTGAAAATGACCAATTTGTTATTTTTATTTTTTGGAGGGATTATTATTGGACGTGTGGAGTAAGGAAACTTGCCCAAGTTTCTGTAACGGGTACAGCTAGTACAGTATAACTGTGATAACCAGAAAACACAGCATATACGATTCTGCCAAAGCAATTTTCTAGAAAGAGCATAATAACAACATTCTATATGATTAGAATGCATGGATTTTCAGCATATAGAAAGTAGTCAATAAGTTAACTGATATCAGCATCTAAGGAAATCTTCTGAGGGAATTCCAAGAGACATTGGGTCAATTTTTGATTCCTGGTATTGATTTGACCCCTGAATAATTTTTTAGTAGCAAGTTTTAAGAATTAAACATTACAAACTTTTAATAAAACACAGCATAAAACAGATGCAATTGTTCATTTTAAGTTAATTATTTATCAAACAAAACAATAGGCAGCAAAGCCGAATGAATATTTATCATGTGACGCCTTTCTCCCAATGTGAAAGGCACCCTATGAATGTCATTTTGTTGTTGTTGTCGTCAAGTTAACATGAGTTCAAGTGAAAATCCAGAAAAAACTGAACCCTTTGCATAGGACTATTAATTATCCATCTTTGGTTGAATTTCCCTACTATCTGTTCCCAATACTATGTGCTCATCTGTGGACAAATCTCTCCAGGGATGTTTCGAAACCTATTTTTCCATCAAATGCTATTGCAAAGAATTATGGGAGCACTCACAGCATTTTCCTCATTTACAATATATGATGGTTCTCTGCCACAGTGTACGTATAATCTAGTTTGGATATATTTGTACTTTAATAATTGTACGTTAGAATAATAATGTGATGGGGAAGAAAAGAAAGACTATGCATGGAAAGTGTATATATGTTATAAAAATAAAAGGTATAACTAATGGTCCATTAATGGTTCAAGGCTAAGTATCCTTGCTGCACCTGTATTCTTCACACACATCTTAAGAACTTGGTTATATGATCAAACAACTGCCTCAAAGGTTGGGAGGAGCTGGAGGCTTGCTGATACGAGCTGTGCATATTAAAAAGGCTCACACAGATGTTAAGATTTGGCAGGGTTAAACGAAGACAGCATTCTGCTCATTGTTCACAAGCGCTCTGTACGTTCTATCTATAGTGAGTTAATCTCACTGAACTTTGTATACACCATTATTTCATTATTGTAAAAATAATGAACACCCATTGTCAAGTCTTACACATGGAAGAATGATCAATTAATCCACTGGCACCTGTGCAACTGTAGCTGAATAAAAAAGGAAACGAAAAGGGGAGGGGAAAGAATTGCAAGTATGCAAACTGAAAAGTTCATTTTTAATTTGAAAAAAGTTACAAGTTGAAAAATTCTCATTTCTAAACCATAAAAATATTAAACAACAACAAATTACTTTTAGATGTTTCTAATAGCTATGTCGATTACTATTTGGGTCATTTATTTTCTAACCTGTTTCCTCTCAGATTAATTTCAGCTTTGTTTTTCCTTACTTTATACGTCTTTAAAATCAATACTATTCTAATTTAATCAAAATTAATCTACTGAATTTCCCAGCTTTTCAGTGTGTTGATCAGACTGGATGAGTATGCCAATTTATAAACAGACTAACAAATCTCCTGGTAAATGGTTTGCACACAGACTTTTACAAGAAGGTGATCACTCAATTGGCTGAAAGTGTTTCAAAAAATGACTAGCAGCAGTTACATCTGAAATTAAGTAGATCATTTTTATGCCTTTTTTTGCTATAAATGAAAAGAACATTGAAACCACTTTAATCGTATGAATATCCAGCTATGTAGTCGAATTTATAAAGGCGATTCACCATTTTATTCCAATGGAATGAAATCAGAACACAACTCTTATGGCTCAGCTAGAAAGTAGCATCCTACAACTGTAAGTTTGCCTCCCTGGAAGGGAAGAGCAATAGCTCCGTAGGAATAATTTTATTTCAGTAAAACTTTTTTTAAAAACTTGTTGTACCACTAATAATAGGAAAGCGTCAAAAGGTCCCAAACACCATTTTAAATGAGAAAAATATTCAACTGATTTAAAATTCTAATTGCTTTATACAATATTTTAACTCCTGTTCTGGACGTAAATCAATCGAGCAATTTACAATTCCTACTGCATCAACAGGAAGATAGGATTTGTATTTAACCTATTGTCAATTAAATATTTGGTACACTTACATTGTTAGTGATCATGCTGTATTTATAGTTAATTATGGTTCGACCACTTACTGAATTCACTATTTGCAAGCCGTGGAAGTGGATAAAGCACCCAAATTCAACTGAGTTGACCAATCGCACACGGGGGGGAAAAACAGTTCAGAATACTACGATTAGCTTTAGAATCCCGTAGAAATAATTGGTATTTCTTTCTCCCCAATCACTATTTATAGTAATACAGTACTTTCATTTGAAATAGCACCTTTCATATCAGGATACACTGTAAAGTGTAATGACTGTATTTTGTAGGCAACGGAAAGATTGGTCATTCACTACTTAGTAGCCTAACTCAAAAGTGTGTACACATAAATGCTGGATTAAATCATCAGCTATTATTATGAATAGTTTTTTTGACCAAGAAACCAGAAGAATGCCAGTGCCCTTGGCAAAGCAAGGCCAGGAAGAACCCGGAACCTCAGGGAGGGAGAAACATAAAGAGTAAAAATAGTCATCAAGGGCGTCATTAATCCTTTCAATCTAAGTGCTATGAATCACAATAAATGCACCACTTGTTAAAAAACCAGCGGTCTCCGTTATAAAATGGTTGAGTTGGTAACACTTAACTTTGCTCAAGTATATTTACATCATATCAAAAAGTAAGCGTGCACTCACTCACATGGCACTGGCCCTTCTAAAAATAGACATGGTTGACTGATGAAATGAGAATAAGGCGTCCAGAAGAGGAATCCCACCCAAACAATTAACCTATTTTCTCTTTCAGATGCTGGTTGCTCGGCTGCGCATTTCCAGCAGTATGTGTGTGTTTTTTTTATTTCGGAACTTCAGCAGTCACTGTTCTTTTTTTCTCTCTCTCTCTCCCTCTTTTTCCTAACCCCCCCCCCCCACCACCCCGAATATATACATTACAGTAGCGACTGTCGGGGCCCAATCGTTTAATTTCCGGAACTTCTAATCGATCGCAATGGCGAAAATACGCCAAGTGAGTGACTCGACATTTTGCAACCGCTGTACCTTAATGAGTACGAGCGGTTCGTGTATAAAAGTACGAGTGGTCCGCGCTTTTCTTTTAGGTTTTAGGGGTTGGGAGGAGAGAGAGAGAGGAAAAAAAAACTACGCATTAGTCAACCCATCCCTCCCCTCTGTCGTTTCACTTGCAACCTTAACTTCGCATGATGCCTGTGAGAAAAATAAATACAGCCCTACACCGCCCTCCCCCTCCCCCCACCCCCTCACACACACACGGCTGTCAAAAGAGTGTCAGTTTATTGCACGTGTTTTTCCTTTCCTCCCCGCGTTGTAAAGTGATGTTTGCTGAACGCTGCTCTTGTGGGCCAACAGCTGAGTAACTGTGCGGGGTGTATTATTATCGTTATTATTATTATTATTGTTGTTGTTATTATTTTGGGGGGTTTATTTGCTCTCTCCTTCCTGCCTCGCGTTGTTTGCTTTCGGGTTAAGATAACGGCGACGACTCCACCGACCCCACCGACCGGACAGGACAGGACAGGACGGCTTCGGTGGGTCAGGTCGAGCTTCTCTTTAAAAACCATTTCGTTTCCCTCTCCGACTTCTACCTAACGGCGAGGAGGGAGGAGGGAGGAGAACTCAATCCCCCCCCCCACCCACCCACCCACCCACTGCACCCTCCCAGAGGATGGATGGATGGAGAGAGAGAGAAAAAGAGGGAGAAGGGGGTGGGGTGTGTGTGTGTGTGGGGGGGGATGCCATCACCAGCTTCCCTCCCCTCCTCTCTATATAAAAAAATAATAATGAATATATTTATCGGGAGGGGCAGGTCAGCACCGAACGAGAGCTGAGGGAAATTGGCGGATGACAAGTTAATGAACTGGGGGGGGGGGGGGAGACGAGACGGGGGAAGGAGGGAGGGAGGGAGGGGTGGGGGGGCCTTTCGACCAAAGGAGGAGCAGCAGCAGCAACAACAACAAGAAGCCAACATGGCGGCCGGCGGGCGGGCGGCGGCGGCCAAACCCGCCCGCCAACTGCCAGCCAGGCCCGAGCTCAACGGCTCCGGCCTTCCCGGCGGGGGCCTCGCTTCACAACTCCCCCCCTCTCTCCCTCTCTCTCTCTCTCCTCCTCCTCCTCCTCCCTCAAAAAAAAACCACCGGCCAGGGGTGAGGGGAGAGGAGGAGGAGGAGGGGGTTGGGGGGGAGAGAGAGAGAGAGTGTGAGGGAGTGTGTGTGTACGTGTGTGAGGTAAACGGTTGCCTTGAGAGAGATGGAAATGATGCAGAGAGGGAGGGGAGGGGAAGGGGGGGGGAGGTAAATAAATAAAAGAGAGAGCGAGCGAGCGAGAGAGAGAGAGAATATGACGACTCACCGCGAGCTGGTGCCGGGTTCACGAGGAGAAGGCGCGGCTCGCGGCGCCGCCGGGCGGCATCTTTCTTTTGGGGGAGTTTGTGGCGTGAGGCCGCCGCCGGAGCATCATGGGTAAAACAGGGAGTCAGCCCCCCCCCACCACCACCACCACTCACACCCCACCCCCGAGCCTCTGCCACTCACTGCCTCTTTGACACTGCCCGCCCGGCTCTGCCTCCGCCACTGCCCACCTGCCTCGACCACTGCCTCCTCCCTCCCTCCCTCCCTGCCTCTGCCTCTGCCTCCTTCTGCCACTCACTGCCTCTCTTGCCACTCACTGCCTCCTCCCTCCCTGCCTGCCTCTGCCTCCTTCTGCCACTCACTGCCTCCTCCCTCCCTCCCTGCCTCTGCCTCCTTCTGCCACTCACTGCCTCCTCCCTCCCCCCCTGCCTCCTGCCTCCTTCTGCCACTCACTGCCTCTCTTGCCACTCACTGCCTCCTCCCTCCCTCCCTGCCTCTGCCTCCTTCTGCCACTCACTGCCTCCTCCCTCCCTCCCTGCCTCCTGCCTCCTTCTGCCACTCACTGCCTCTCTTGCCACTCACTGCCTCCTCCCTCCCTGCCTGCCTGCCTCCTGCCTCCTTCTGCCACTCACTGCCTCTCTTGCCACTCACTGCCTCCTCCCTCCCTCCCTCCCTGCCTCTGCCTCCTTCTGCCACTCACTGCCTCTCTTGCCACTCACTGCCTCCTCCCTCCCTCCCTGCCTCCTGCCTCCTTCTGCCACTCACTGCCTCTCTTGCCACTCACTGCTCCTCCCTCCCTCCCTGCCTCTGCCTCCTTCTGCCACTCACTGCCTCTCTTGCCACTCACTGCCTCCTCCCTCCCTGCCTGCCTCTGCCTCCTGCCTGCTTCTGCCACTCACTGCCTCCCTCTCTTTGACACTGCCTGCCTGTCTCTGCCACTCAACTGCCACCATCTACCTGTCTGACCACTGCCTCCTGCCTGCTTCTGCCACTCACTGCCTCTCTTGCCACTCACTGCCCCCCCTCCCTCTCTGCCTGCCTCTGCCTCCTTCTGCCACTCACTGCCTCTCTTGCCACTCACTGCCTCCTCCCTCCCTGCCTGCCTCTGCCTCCTGCCTGCTTCTGCCACTCACTGCCTCCCTCTCTTGCCACTCACTGCCTCTTTGACACTGCCTGCCTGTCTCTGCCACTCAACTGCCACCATCTACCTGTCTGGACCACTGCCTCCTGCCTGCTTCTGCCACTCACTGCCTCTCTTGCCACTCACTGCCTCTTTGACACTGCCTGCCTGCCTTTGCCACTCACTGCCTCCTCCCTGCATGCCTCTGCCACTGCCTGTTTCTGCCACTCACTGCCTGTCTGCCATTGCCTGTCTGCTCCCTACCTCTTCCACACCGCTTGCTTCTCTCTGCCTCTGCCACTCACTGCCACTGCATACCTGTGACGACCATTGCCTCCTGCCTGCCTTTGCCACTCACTGCTTCCTGGCTGCCTCCTGCCTGCTTTTGCCACTCATTGCCTCCTGTCTGCCTCTACCACTGCCTGCCTCCTTGCCACTGCCACCGGTCTGCCTGCCACTACCTGCCTCTTTGCACTGCCTGTTTGCTCCCTCCAGCAGCCGGGCATGCACTGCTAACCGGTCCCCTCCCACTGCAACTATCCCCACACCCCCCAGGGCACTACCCGTCAACCCTCACCTCCCATTTTATCCCCCTCCTCAATAATTCACCTATTTGCTTTCTCCCTCCCGATTATTACCCCCGGAAAGCGTTCCGCCATTCGATTTACTGCTCGGTAAACAGCAGTGTTTGGAGTAAGGAAACGTGCCTCAGGTTTTGCCCTACCCGGGAATCGAACCCAGGTCCTGTGACGCTCTTTGACGCTGTCTCCCCAATGTGATAAGGTGCTATATCAAATGCAAAGATTACTGCAGAGTTGCTGTCTTCTCTCCATCTTCAAATCGTCAGCCTTGTTTTCCTTTTGCGCTGAACCTTTACACTTTGTCTCTCCCCTCCCTTCCCCCACATGTTTTGTCCCTTCCCACTTTTGCTCCATGATTCTCATTCAGTCAGGCTTCTTTCTTTTTAAATATCAAGTCTGTGCTCCGATGAAAATGCTGTTGATGCTTATTGTTTGACTGCGATTTTTGGAAGCGAGCCCAGGGAGGAGTATTTTGTTTTCCTCAAGGGTGTTCAGGGTTCGGTCCAAATCTCATATCAATAGTTTGGGGAACATGCCATGGTTCCATTTTGTCCCATCTGTCTGCATTTCAACAAATAAATTAAGAGTAAAAGAAAAATGCAAGTCAGGAAATGAGACAATACAATTCAGCAATTTCTCTGGAGAAGATCAGTGCAGACAATTCAGATCCTCCCTGCCAGAAGAAACATTGTGGTTAGTAACTCAACACATCCAATAACATTGGGGTGGCCTGTTTATCTATTGTGCCAAATTTGATTGCCTCCCAAAGTGGAATGTTAACCCACCACTGAATGCCGTTTTAAGCTGTAAAAATCACATTTATCATGTCTTTTTCATTTAAATAAAATCTGATTTGTTTACTTCGACGACCAGCTCCAATGTGGTTTTCCTTGTGCTGTGAACAGATTTCAACACGTCTCACTTGAAATAGTTTTCTGTTCCCAAAGTAGGTTTTCTCATAGTTGTGATGACTTTCTGTAGATTACATGTGGCGAGCCAGATCAAAAGCACCATGCCACTGCTTTCCGAGAGAATCCCACACATAGAATTAAAAACTGAAACACAAAAAGTTTTTGCACTTTTGTGCAAAAGCTGAGGCTGTTAACAGTTGAACGCACTGGTAAACACTGCAGAAGGACTGGCAGAAAGTGATTAAAGTTTAGTTCAGTATTTTATGAATGATGATGATAGCTGAAAAACCAACCACTTTTAGTTGAAAAAAATCTGCTTGTGTTTAATTAATCGCTGCTGGCTCTGCCTCTGAGGAGGGTTACTCCATGTGCTGCTGATACGTTTAGCATACTTTAGGATCTAATGTGTACCATTTGCTAATGCTACGGAACAATTCACATTATAAGCATTCTTTGAAACGTTCATTAGCATGAGTGAACAGTGGTTTTTACTCCAAATTTGCATTGTAAATGAGATTTCCTATTATACGACTACACTGTGCAAGTGTAGTACATGGAACATCACCCCCAAGGGTCACCAGCTGGACCAATAGAAAGGTGTGGCCGGTTTAGCTATAAAACCACTAACATGAAGTTTCTAGCCCCGGCCTTTGCCTCTGTTTGTTTACCTGACATCACTGTGGGTGGGGGGTGCTTGAAGCAGTACAGCGCAATGGACCCGCACTGCGACAGCCCTCCCCCCATCCACCCCCCCATCCCAAATGGGCCAAACAGTTTTTGTTAAAGAAGAAATTAATAAGTGTTTGCAACAGTCTAATATGTGTTATTTCCTCATGTTTAGCTTTTATCAATAAAGTAAAAAAAATGTAAGTTGGCAGTAAAACGTACCTCAATAGCACCAATCAAGCCCATGCAATTTTCTGCAAAATTTGTCAAATTTTCCCGCAATTTCCCGCAAAGTTTTCAACCGCCCACCATCCCTCACACCCCTCCTTCCCCCACCCCCCCCCACCCACCCCACACACAATTTTTGACAAATATTTGAGCACTTTTCTATTGGCCCAGGTCACCAGCTTCAATTTGCCTATGAGCTGATGTGAACCATGTTCACATAACAAGCATAACATAAGCACTAAGTTGAAATGTTTTCTTTGCTCAAATTCAACCAATATATATTGGTTGGTGCGACTTAATAGAATATAAATGCATGACGATTCTTGGGGAACTTAAAAATATATACCCTTCTTAGGAAGGGACAATTTTTCACGTCTCCGAAAACAGCGCTTTGAAATAACAATCAAATTGGACTGAGTTATCAGCTTTACCCTTGTATTCACTGACATACACCACTGCATCAAAAGATTGAAAGAGATGTTACACCTTGGGAAGTGATTGCTGTCATGATGGATGGGGAAGATGACAGTGATGGGTTAGAACTGCCAGTAGCTAGATAGACTGAAAATGAAAGAAACTTACTGTAAGTTCCTTTGGATTTTTAGAAGTTAGAATCATTACAAAAATGGTGTTTGCCAGTTAATGTACCTGAAGCTTGAAGAGTGCAAAGTAGGATCGATGGAATAGGTTCTGACAATAAAGCATACAAGATTGTGTTGCATAAGACTTCACCCTGAATGGTTCCTTACTACTGCTAAAGCATCCCACAAATTGACCGCCCTTCGAAGACACTGCAATAAGCCAGGAATAATTAAGATGGGATATAATGGAGGTGAATATCTGACTATGTTCAGTCATGCAAAAATGGTTTGTAATTTAGAGCTGAGAACCAACATTGAGAAAGTTTACCAAAACCATTATAAGCCCCTTGGAGAGTCTGGCTCACTGAAATCTAGAGGATGTCTATATATAGATCAATACAGAAGCTCCTTGATAAATGATAGTTGTTAAGAATAATGTAGCAGCTCATGCTTTGGAGTTGAAGAATAAAACATTATACAGTAAGGAAATTAGAGAAGAGAGCTGTACAGAAGTAAGAAGAGATGGCAGGAAGCAGATAAGAGAACTTCACAGGTTAGCCTCGTCACAAGCTCTGTAATTCACACTGTAATTGTATTGGTTCACACATTCTGTGCCTTGCTCACTGTGTATTCACATTAGTGTTCCAATTGTCACAAGAAACTGGATCACCTGATGTGTGTGGTAAGGATACTTCAGCTGCGTGCATCTTAAATCTACAAGTTAGTGCAAATCCTGGAGCTGACAAAATGCTCCCCTGCTGATGAATCACCTAATTGTGTGGGTCTCTGGAAGTAGTAGAGAAGAATCAAAGTGTTCTTTAATATAATTTTTCTACGGAATTTAGACTGCCTCTGTATTGTAAGTTCAGTGAAAATACTATAGTGTGCTGAATGACCTAGAGTAATTGACAGGACAGTATAAATGGTTATGAAAAGTTTATTCACTTTTCAGTTCTTCGTGTACTTACTTCAAGCATTGCGTGCTAAGCCTTGAACACAATTTAGTAAGAGACAGGTTATTTTGTGAGGGCGATGTAAATTGGTGCTCTTTCTTCTTAAACTGGGTTGATT